ATTGAAGATATGTTAGCTTTGGGGAGAGATGTAACCCTGTAATAGACAATACCTCTTCAATGAAGGAAACTGACAGGGAGACACTCTCTTATGAGTGACCATCCATGAGCAATCCTGTGTTTAGGGAAATGAATGTCACAGTTGAAGAGGAATATTAGAGGACCCAACCATGCTTTTTATTTTTTCTCTCCCGGATAAATTTTGGAAATTGATTTTACACTTTCTTTAGTATCATCACCATTAACAGAGACTAAAAAGAACAAAAATATATATTTTAATTGTATACCTTCTTTGGAATATGTATTACATTTTTAACTTACATACTGTTCATAGATTGGGTGGTGTGAACACATCTTAGTGAAATTTTATGGGAAAGTGTAAATCTACAATAAATATTATGTAACATGGATGATTCAAGAAGACTATAGCACGTCTATGGATTATACTGAAAATCAGCATTTGCTATTACCCCACAAAAATTATGGATATAGTTATCTTTTTAAGAGAAATGATATTTTCACACTTGTACATTATACATTCTATTTCACATTTCTGAACATTGTATATTCTGTTATTTATACAATAACGTAAAGTTGTATGATTACTAAAATAAAGTAAAAAAGTAAGAGCAAACATCATAAATAATGATTTTTCTGAAAAGCCACAAAGAGAAATGATTAACAGTGGAAAATATTATACAAGGATACTAGAAGATTTGAGGTATCATGTATCAGTCTATGACCATTGATTTTTCCCTTTTCTGTTTATTAAAATGTAGCTTAAGTACTCTCAGTTAAACAATATAATTTCTTTCCCCTAGTGCTTGCACTATGACGTTTGTCTTATATTGACTCAAATTATTGTGTGTGTGTGTGTGTGAACATTTCTTTGCATGTGTGTATGCAAGGTGGATGGTGTCAACATTGTTCCATTTTTTCTTTATATCTTTTTATTTTTTTCAAATGAGAAAAAAATACCCATACCTTTTCAAAAAAAATTTTTATGAAGCTCATCAATTTGGTTAATGTAGCTGGGACAAGTTTCTCAGATCCTCCCGTGGCTGCACACTATTCAAGCTTTATAATAAAAATTATGTAAAAAAGCATTATTAGTTAAATTTTTACTTCTAGTGAGTCTATTATTTTATAGTTTTATTTTTGGTAATCATGATCTAGAAATTGAATGGGTATTATTTAAAAATTCTGTGGCATAGGCCAGCTATCTAATTGGCAGAGTGGCTCTGTTTAGCTCCTGCTGCCATGTTCTGCACTAGAAGCGGCCAGATGCCACACGCAGACAGACTAGACACCAAGTAGCAGATATCTCTGCCCATCCACTACACTGCATCCACAAAGCTGGACTGAACCCCAGTCAATATCCACCATACTCAAGGTACCTGGTAGAATAATGACTCTTAATGCTTAAAGATTATCCAATGGATTTATATATTTGGAAATGCTCAAATAACAAGATGCCCACACAATTAGAATTGTTACCCAATATCTAACCCTTTGATAGAAGTTGCTACCAAGGACTGCTTTCGACCCACCATTTCCTCCATGATTGATCACCTCTTTCCCTCTCCTCCCCTTTTTCTTCTTCATTCCTCCCAACTCCTCACTCCACCTACTTTTCATACTACCCAATCACCAAGGTTTTTGGAAATATAGTGGGGAAAATATCCCGCTACAAGAAATGATCTCTACCTTGGGCTCTATATTTCTTACTTCACCTTATGTTTTTAAACATGAAAGGAATTCAATCTTTTTTCCACTTGTTTATGAAGTTTGCCAGTTATATAACTTTTTTGAAATTAGCAAGATTTCCTACGATTTTCTTCAATCAAATGATTTGGTGGAGAATTCCAGTGAAAAATACTCAATAAAGTCACTGTAACAAAGTTGTAAGAAACTCTTAGAAGGTAGGTTTTCGTTTGCTATTTAATCTTGTTTGTCTGTATGGCATTATTTGTATTTTATGACTGCCATCACATTATATATGTGAGTGAGTGTTTATACATGTATCTAATATATGTATATGAAAACACTAAGTTCTGGTCAAACTACATTTTCACATACAAGTATAAAAGAAATATTTTCAAGGCAGCAAAAGTATACAGATGTAAAACATATTATAAATAAAAACTTCTACAAAAACATGTAATATTTCAATGTACTGAATTCATTAGTTAGTTAAAATTTTGTAGTTAAGAACAATACTATAGGCTTTAGGCAGGAATCTGACATTAGGCTAGAACAAGGAAGTAATTTCAAGCAGAAATATAAATCTTAGGCTAGAACAAAGAAGTAATTTCAGGCAGGAATCTAAATCTTAGGCTGGAACAAGGAACTAGGCTTCAGACATGCAAATGACTTTGGGCTCAGACAGGGAAGTAGGCTCAGATATTTTGGTCATCCTAATAAGCCCTTAGGAACAGTGATCATGGGAGTGTTCACATAATTGGGTTTAATGCCTTGCTTGTTCTTTGACTATTTGTGTTAATTTGTCTAGCTTGTACCTTGAATGTTTACATCTATTGTATTGCTAGACCCTCAACCTAGAACTGACCTTAATTCTTGCATGTAATTAAAATGGTATAAAAGAAAAAGGAGGAGGGGGGGATGGGATAAGAGTTTTCTAAGGTGGGGAAATGGGGAAAAGGGATGGTATCTGAAATGTAAATAAATAAAATATCTAATAAAAAAGAACTTTACTATAGAATACTATAGAATATATTATTTTAATATAACAAGAGATATCATGCTTAAACATGGAATAGAGTAGAAGGTGAAGTTACTGACCAAGTATAGACATAATACTTGGTTCCTAATATATAAATCCAAACTTTGAGTACTTTCTTCTCCTAAGGAGATAGAAGAACTATTCCAAAATTAAACATTAGAGACGTTTTTACAGTATCAATTGATTCATTTATACTGATGCATGAGAATAAAATACACATATTAGACACAGATTGATTCTATTAGGAGTAATTAAAACTTTTTTCATTATTCATTTTCAATGTGATTTTGGGAAATTCCATCAATATTTATCCTCCATTCAAGTGAATTTTTAACATATGCTGAATAAATTCAAATGAAATATTCATATGCAAAGAAATAATATGATTTTTATGAGCCTATAATTGTTCTTACCGAGTATATCTAAAACATATTTTTAAAAAAGAATTCTAGCCAAAAAATAGATTGCACATATTGATTGCACAAAATAATATCAGGATAGTATAAAACATTATTATCAAATATACTTTTGAGACAAAGTAAAGACTTGAGACACAAATAAAATTTGATAACATTAAAACCAAAAGTGTCCAACTTCAGTATTCTCTAAGCTTATTTTTTCTGTAAATATATGTTATTCTGTACTTAGTATATTTGTTGTTTGGGTTCATACTTAGGGTAATTTATTTATATAGATGCTAGCTACTATACATAACTGAACATTATTTGGTAAGTTTCATAAAAGAAGTTTGAAAACTATTAATTAAATCATAAGGTAGTAAAACATACTATAGGTTATAAATATAAAATATAATAGTCTCTTGTACATTTATGAATTACATATTTAAGGTTCACATGTATATCTTATGTTACCTTAAAGACTGTATATTATAGGCAATATGTATTTAGTAATAAATATAGATATAAATTAATTCTTGTCAGTTTAGAAAAAAGGAAGAAGAGACACAGATATTGAGCTACAAAATGGAAGATAATGGAGTCCCTAAAACAAATGGAACATTACAAGTAAAATTTTCCATGGCAGTTTTAGACAAAGTTGAGTCATTCAAGACCAAAAACAGCTCACAGTTTTATGTGTTACCAATTTAGTACTTAATATTTTTCACTTTCACAAGCCATTTCATTTCAATTAACAGAACATATATTACGTTTCCTCTTTTTATTAGAGTGTCACTGAAAGACCAAATAATTTGGGTTCAAACTACGTCTTACAGAACCTGACCTAAGATTGTACTCATGTTATGTAACAAACTGGCACCTAGAAACAGTTTCCAACTTACTTCCCAACAAACTGGGACTTAGCATCAGTTTCCAGGTTACTCCCCAACAAATGTGCACTACCAGGTTACAAGCCTGACCCTGGGATAGTAGTTAAGTTTATGGTTTGTCTCCAGCACTAGCCAAGTAAGTTAAAGGGCAAATAAGATTTTATAATGTATCCCACCCTAATCAGGTATGAGCCAGGCTACATACCAATTTCTTTTCTCTATAAATACAAGCTTAAAATTAGACTCTGGGCTGTATCCTCCAGTTTTGCTGTGTCATAGACAGCAGTGTGAGCTCAAGCTTGAGCTTGTAGATAAAGAAAGACCTTAGTGTGATTGCATTGGCGTTGGCTCCTTGATGGTCTTTTGGGTCCTGCAAATGGGTACAACATCACTAAAGTGCAGATATGGTATATTAGCAATATTGTGTTTCTCATGACATATTCATATTTAGCTACAAAATTACAACAACATTCGCAATGCATTTACTATGATTTTATTGAATTTTGGAGGAAACTTCAGGCTTTTTGTTGAGCAGAATGTCTAGAAACACCTATTGTGCCTTTGTCTAGCTCTATGTTTTCTTTACCAGGATATGTTTTAGTTGGTGTCGAGAAACAATACTCAGCAGAAATTGATGTTAAAGGAGTTGCAAACATCATCTTAGTTCAGTTGGTGACACAATATAGATTAATAACGATATTTCAATGATCCATATGAGGATTAAATCTCTTCCCCAAAATGTTTCTTATTGAAGTATATATGCACTTTGCATTCAGTTTTGCAGTGTAATGTAATTATACTAAATTTAATGATCATGACGTATTATTTCAGATGAGTTATTTCCATTGCATAGTTTTAGAAATGAAAATTAAAACCTTCACACTGCTTTAACTTAATTTCCAGGAAAGCTGCAGGAATGATGTTTAAAATCATTAAAGTTGTTGAAACCACAACCACAGATGGGACACAGTTATTTCCAGTTATTGTTGTAGGTTACGATTACTAGCCTCAGCTTATGACGAGCTCTCCAATTATTTTTAAAATCTTTTCCATGGATAGTATTCTGGGTTCGGAACTGAGACATGTAGAATCTTGGCCTCACAGAAAGATGGTTTCCATTCCTGTTTTGATATAACTTAGTAGTTTTCCTTTGAGTTAGTCTTTCCAAAAGAGGATGGTAGTAGTATACTCTCAGAGGCCTTCCAAAGACTATGTTCCTTTGGAGATTGATGACATTTTGGTAATCACGAACTGCTACATATTTTTGTTTTACCCATGCATTACGTTGGTGATATTCTGTCTGAGAGAAATTTCTGCTGCACAACAGGTGAATAATCATCCTACTTATCTCATCAGTATTAAAGAATGGGACTCGCCATGCAAGGAAACGGGGATCCAGCATCTTGTCATGTATAGGGACATGGGAGTAATCACTTATTGTCATCTGCATTGTCCCTAGATGGAACATGATTTTATCAGATAAGATCTTCTTTTCATGAAGTTGTGATTGTGGTTGTGGGATACTCAGATAGATAATTCTACATAATATTAACCTAGGAATGGTCAGCTTTCTAGGAATAGATATCTGAAGTGGAAGAGAGTCTTCTAATAATTCTTCATCTGGGGGATCATGTTGAGTCTTCTCTGCTTCAGATTTGCTGTTTTCTACTGGCTGGGGTTCTGTATCCTCCTGGGAACTTGATGAGTTTGGCTCCATGCCTGATACACTGGTTTCTTCCTGAGAAATGTTGTTGGTATCAGGAAGTGGATGTTCTTTCTCATCCTCACAGGCATTTGGTGGTTCATTTTCTGCATTTTTGAGAGAGTTTTCAGCTGGATCACTTCCTTGGTTAGTAGAACTCATTCTCGATGCTATGGGGAATGGGGGAAGATAAAGATCTATTAAATTGAAGAATGTTTCACTTCCAAATAAGCCAGTAGTTTAGTCTTTCAGAAAGCATGTAGATGTGTTATTTCTGTGCGTCTCTATAACTCTAAACATTCTGTCACTTATAAACCCAGAAAATAAAATAATCAAATTATTGACTCATTAGAACAGTATAATCTCTTATGAAATATGTCACTTCATTGTTTAGTTACAAAATTTATATAAATCTTAGATAGTATATCATCTTCCTTGACTATTAAATGAATGTACTCTATTTGTGAGTGTTTATGTAATTCTTTTTGGATGTCAAATCTAATAGAATTTTCATCAAATAAATAGATTTTGGGAGGTAATGAGTCTAAGTCTCTATTGATTTTGGTCTCTGAACTGAGACAAATCTAAAAGAACATTTCATGAAGATATATGTTTGGAAGGAAATTAGGCATCTTTTATGATAGAATATCTGTGATCAAACTTGAACTCTCTTTTTCTGTGGAATTTTCTATCCTTCCTTCTTTTCTTCCTTCCTTCATTCTTCCCCTTCCTTCCTTCTTTTTTTCCTTCCTTTCTTTTCTTTTATTTTACTCTGTTCTTTTAAATTATATGCATACAAAAAAGGACAACTGGGGATTGTGAAAAATAAAAAAAAAAAAGAAAAAAGTGAAAGAAAAATTAAGTTAAATGCAGATTTATAGTAATTTTATTAGAACAACTTCTAAATTTATCACTCTCTTAGTAATTATATTGCCTTGCATTTTATCAAGATGATGTTAGTCAATTTTTGGTTGATAATATCAAGTGAAACTATCTTCTCACCAACATACCCTCCACTCTCTTCCGTTATTCTGTCTGTTTTTCTTCTTGATGTTTACTTGATGAAATAGTTTCAGTACATTATAAATTTCTGAACACCATGTATCTAATTCTCCTATCTGAATTGACTCTGGACAATCTCAGTTTGTTTATTTCCTTATAGCAGGAAGAAAAATACAGATGTTACCCTTTATTTATTTATTTAGAAAACTCATTTATTTATATTTGAGAACTTGAAACATATATACAATGTGTTTAGATAATTTATGCCACACTACTCCTCCTCTAACCTCTCCAAGGCACTCTCAAGTTTCTTGTCCATATTTGTATCCTGTTTTTCTTTTTTTATAGCTCAGTCCAATTTGTGCTACCTCTATACATATGAGTATACCACTTGTATGACCACTTAAATGTGAGCAACCTATGAGAGGTCTTATCACTGAAGAAAATTGACTTTTTCTCCCACTGGCAGAGCACAACATCAATAGTACCATAAAGCATTTTGAACTGCTAGGAATGAAAAATTATCAACACTCCTCTTCAGCTATTAACACAGTGAGCCAAAAAATTAGATCCAATGTGGCAAGATATGCCCATTGACACAATGGTGATCTGATTGCTATGGGGTTAATCAACAGCTTTCAGACTGTAACTTATACCTATTACTATATATAAATCTGGTGAGAACTCATGGCTGAGTAGATCATACACTCTAGTGAGAGTCTTTTTTTTTTTTTCCTAAAAAGACATAGGAAAAACAAATTACTTTCTAAAGTAGCCATAGATTAAGGCAGTCCTCCTCCTTCTTCAGGAAAGTTTCTCATCCTAGTAGACAGTGGTTAAAACAGTGACTCACTAGTACAAGTATAAAAAATAAGTGATCATGGACTACTTACCCCAATAAGAGAAATCTATATTATCTTCTTCCTACTAAGATCAGTAACGACTGTAGAAGAGGTGGTGCAAAGATAGCAAGAATCAGAATTCTTTGAAAAAGTGTTGTGTTCTTTGCTATCATGAGCTCACTTCAGCTGTGACTACTTATACAAAATTTGGACAATATCAACAAGCCTGTTCCAATTCACCTAAAGGCCCTACCTCCCCTTGAGAGCTTTTGATTTGTTTTTTGATAAAAACAACAGTGATGGGGAAAGAAAAATACAAGTAGTCTGATACCAATTCTGTGAAAATTTATGAAATTACCATGGCTTCCATTTCTTATCATGTTTACTTTTCATGAGCTACCCTAGATAAAATTTATGCATTGGTCAGCTGTATTTTATGGATCATTTCTAATAAAAGATAATGAATTTCAGAGAGGACTTCTATAGACAGACTTCATCTCCACTGAAAAATGTACCTTCTCTAACCATCCAACAGGTATTATACATACTAATAGACTTCAGTTTCTATTTCATGCTCATCTTTTCCTTCAAATTAAGTCTTAATTAAAAAATATTTTGAATGTTTGATATTAAACCATGAATGATTTTTTCCTACCAGAAGCATTTGACATTATTTTGTAATCAACAAATGTAATGATATTTAATTTTATATTCTTCACTACATAGTGCTATTTTAAGAGCATGAACAATATATCTATTTATTTCTACAATATTTCAGTAATGTTTATATCTTTTTCTGTTTAATGTAATAGCTTATGATTCTACTTTTTTAATCTTAATTTTTGTCTTTCTTATTTATTGATGAATATGTAAATTTGAGCAGCAGGCATCTTTACCTACTGAGTCATTTTGCTACTTAGTATCTTAATTTCACTAATGTCTATTTTACATCCTACTCAAGCATTCTAACTTGAGAGTCCACTTTTAATTCTCTAATCTACTTTTTAAAAAATCTCTTATTCAGAGTTTCCAAATTTTTACAAGTTCCACAGGCGTGATAAAATTTTTTGAATTTTATTCGTTTCATATTCAGCATTTAAGGAAACAATCTCTATCAAAAAACCTTGGTATTAACAATTGAAATTATAAGTAACATAAATCAATAAATAGAATTCGTAATTTGGGAAAATTTTGAAATAATTAAACTTACCAGTTTGATCACAAAATGACTGGATGCGTTTTAGTGAGGATGAGATCCAGTAATTGTGTAAGAACACCACTTTCTTGGTTTTCTATAAATCTTGTTGAGAAGATCCTTAAATCAAATAAAAATATTTTCATAATACAGAAGAAAAGTCAATTCCTACAACTTTTTCCCATAGAATGGTGCTTGTCTTGTTTGGTTTGTTGATGGAAGAAAAGAATTAACTACAGCAATTTGACCTGACTTTTATGTGCATACCATCATATGCTTAATCACTCTAACATATACAATAAACAAAACATGTTAAAACAATTTTAATATGAACTTAAAATAAATTCACTACGTAAATATAAGTGAGACTAGAGCCCAAAATACTTGAAATAAAACTCAGAAAAATTCTTACTTTTATAGATATGGATTTTTTTGGACAATACTACAAATACACAGAAAATAAAACCAAGCAGAAGAAAATGTAATGACAACCAAATAAACATTTTATCACAAATAGAATAATTAAAATTAAGAAGCCACAGATAACACAGGGGAAAATATTTACAATTTATGCATTTACCTAGTGGTAATATTTAAAATTTATGACAAACAACTTTGGGGTCAAATTTGAAAACCAAACAGCTGAAGAAAATACAGAGTACTAAATACATATTTTTGACAAGAAGGTATACTAGCAAAGTATATGAAAAAACTGTTCAACATTGCTAGTCTTTAAAGAAATTCTGGAAAATACCATAAAATAAGAGTTCATCACCATTCCAAAAAGTAGGTATAATAAAAAAATATTCTATCCAACAAAACCTAGATGGCAAAGGAGAAAAGAAGAACCCTTAATAATGTTGCTGGTAATGCACATACTGAAATGAAATGTAATATATAGGTTCTTCAAAAAAAAAGATATAACTAACAACTTTATCTCTAGCTAGACAACTAAAAGTTGTGTTGATTGGTTTGTATAAAAATATATATTCAATCATCATTTTTAGATTCATTGCTCATTTTTAGCTTTGAAGTGGCATTTTCATAAGAATGTAAGTGATAATTTTTCATATATCCACAAATATGTCACAGGTATTTATACTACTATACTACAATAAAAATTATCACGGGAGTTTATTTTACATAAAAGACTGACTTATGAAAAGAAGTCACATCAAACCCCATGTACTAAGAATGTATACTGTTAATAAAACACAAATATCTTGAAGGCCTTCTAGCTCTTCTTCCACTTTTGTCATATTCCATTCCTCACAGGTTCATTCCATTCTTTTGTTACTCCCTGCCAACAGCAGGCTAAAGACCCACTCTTTAACCAAAACCCACAGCTACAACACTTGGCAGGAATCCAGCTAAGTTACTACCTGCAATTTCCTTCTTTCTTTCCAATCATTTCTTCTTATGATATTACTATACCCCACTACTGTTGCCTACCTAATCCCATCTTCCTGGCCTACCACCATCCTCCCGAGGTTCACTACCACACATTGATACACAGTCCCCATAATTCTCCTTTCACCATCCTTTTATGATTTCTGACTGACTTCAGACCCTCTTCCCGGAATCTCATAGCTATTGCACTTGACAGGCAACCACATATGCTACATGTGCTAACAGAGAGATCTTTCAGACAAAAACTAAACAGTCCTGGAGTTAAATAATATTGTAAATAAAATGAATTTTGTGCATATATTCAGTACATTCCATTAAAACACTAAGGAACATGCTTTTTTTCAACAGGCCATGGAACTTTCTTCAACCATGATGGTATATTAGGTCAAAGAGGAATGAATAGAGACAGGACTTTTAATAGTATCTGGTAATCTATCTTACCACTATGAATTAAAGTAGAATATCAATAATAATAGAAACAGCAGCAGGTACACATGCTCACGAAAGCTAAACTAGTCAGTATTGAATGAAAACTAGGTAAAGAAGGAAAGTTAAAATTTTAACATTTTAGGAAATTGAATAAAAATAAAAACATAGCAAAATGTATATATCAGAGTGAAGGTAGTTTTAAGAGAGGAGAATTCATAGCATAAACTGTTCATATTAAAAACCAGCAGACATCTCCAAATAATAATGAGAAAATTAAAAGCTTT